TCTTTTATTCTTTTCTTTGGAAAGCTCCCTCCTCTGTGCTACCGGTCCCTCTTCAATGGTAGTCATACAACGATTTCATCAAGAAATATGAAGGACCAATAACCATGCACAAATGGTGTTTTTCCCACTTATGTTCATTTGTTGGTTTACAATAAAACATGAAGAGGCAATATTAAACTAGAACAATAGGAAAACCTTTTTTTCTTTCATTTTGGATAGAGTAATGCAGGTCACACATGGACAGGGGCAGACTGACCATTTGGAAACTCGGGCATTGCCCAAGGGCCCGGGGTCAGTAAGGGGCCCCATGAGATGCTCCTGGTACCTTTTTCATAGGCTTTTTTGAGTTTTGGCAAGGACACAGGGGCCCCATGATCCCCTATTGCCCGGGGGCCCCATGAGTTGTCAGTCCGCCCCTGTAAAGTACATTCACATTCCAACAACAGTGGCAGCAGACTAACTGATTAATCACTCTACACATTTCATGGAGATGGCCTGAACGTCCTCAGGAGTATATGGTCAGTGACCAATTTGTGGACAGCTGTTTGTGGGCACCAACCAGATGGATAAAGAAGTTGCTAAGAAGGACCCCAAGGAGAAGCATTTTAACCCCACCAAGACTCTACTTATACTAAGCAAGGTATAATAGTCCCAGGTATACTGAGATCTCTATGGGGTCTTCATTCAGATGGCACCTCAAATATAAAACTTCTCACATAATGGTGAGCATTATTGGTGAGAAGATCACTCGAAGAGGACTATTGATTAAGGAACATTTGGATATTCTAGCACTGGGAATAAGGACTTATTATCGTATCGGTATGAGGGTCACATTGCATATTCTACAAATATTTTCAGGCTGAAAAAAATCCCCATCAGAATCTCCCCTTACACCAGGGTCCCCATCAAAGTTTCCCTTACATCAGCATCCCCATGAAAGTTTCCCTTACATCGGCGTCTCTATCAGAGCTCCCACACATCAGGGTCCCCATCAGAGTTCCCCTTACAAAAGTGGCCTCTTTAGAGCTCCCTCACATCAGTGTCCTCTTCAGTGTTTCCCTTACATCAGCGTCCATTAGCATCCCCATCAGAGCTTCTATACATCAGGGTCCCCATCAGAGTTTCATTTACATCAGGGTCCCCATCAGAGTCCCCCCTTATATCAAGATCCCCATCAGAATCCCCCCTTACATCAGGGTCCCCATCAGAGTTTCCCTTACATCAGGTCCCTATCAGAGTTTCCCTTATATCAGTGTCCCCATTAGAGTCTATCCGTTGCGATTGCGCAACGGATAAAATTCAAAATCCTAACACTGACGTACAAAGCCGTCCACCATACTGCCCCGAACTACATCACTGACCTAATATCCAAGTACCACCCAGCATGCACACTCCGCTCCTCACAAGACCTCCTTCTCTCTAGTTCCCTGGTCTCCTCCTCCCATGCCCGCCTCCAAGACTTCTCCAGGGTGTCACACATCCTCTGGAACTCCCTTCCCCAACCCATCAGATTATCACCTACTCTCCTCTCCTTTAGGCGCACTCTGAAAACCCACCTCTTCAGGGAAGCCTACCCTACCCCCTGCTAACTTGCCGATCTCCTCCACTCTTCCTACCACCCCATCCCCCACATCCCCTCCCTCCTAGATTGTAAGCTCGAAAGAGCAGGGCCCTCGATCCCCCTCATGTTTTGCATTGTATTGGTATTGTTCTGTCACATGTTCTGTCCCCCTTTGTAATGTACAGCGCTGAGCGATCTATTGGTGCTTTATAAATACTGTATAATAATAATAATCCTTAGATCGGGGTCCCCATCAGAGTTCAGCTTAGGTCAGGGTCCCCATCAGAATCCACCATTACATAGGGAAGTGGGGGGGGGGTTAAAGGGGAGACCATAGGCAGGCTGATCCTTGTCATGAAATGGAAAAAAAAATCTTGTAGCGGGCCAGCTGTGGTCCAAGAGCCATAGTTTGGAGACCCTTGTTTATGGGAAGGTTAAACCCCTGTCATGTTTTTATTACCGTACAGCAAAAATAAGAAGTGAAGTACAATACAATAATCCAAATACAATTTTATTCTAATGGGTCAATCAAGGGTCCATCCAGCACATTTCGGGAACCCAACCCTCCCCCTTCACCAAGGCATGCAATAGGAAACAATGTACTAAATATTGGCTGAAACCTGAATAATATTTTATCAGGTGTGATAATCTGCACAAATCTCAACAGTAGCTGATTTGTCAGCCAAGCCAACTTCTTACACGATTCGTCCTTTTGACCCTTGCTGGAAAAAAATTGTATCTGGACTATAGTGGTGTGGTATTTTAATCCATATTTTTACTGTATTGCACTACAAACCAAGGAAACTGTACAGATCTTCTGGGATGTAGAAGCTGCCTGTTGGGTATCCAGATCACGTATACCACCATCATTTCAATACTATTGGACAGTACCACCAGCAACATTCTTTACTTTTCCAAACTTTTATTATTCTTTGTCCCTGTTACAGATTTTCCCACAGTTCCTGTCTGTTGAAACTGGTGTCAGCCAGACAAGAAGTGAGAAAGCCCCAGCTAGCATTAAAAATCCAACAGGAATTCTAATCCTTTATCATCCTATCCAGAACTAGGAAATATTGTGAGCTTACAATATACCTTCAAACGCTTGTTGCCATGTAAAATGACATATGTACATGTAGCACCCTCTTGTGTAGATAGTTGGTGATTGTAGTTAGAGGCTTGCTAGAAGCCTGGGTGTGAGAGGGTTACTTCAAGTCCAGCTGGAGGGCTCTACGAGCCAGTGCTCTGGTACCTCCCCCTGCTCTAGAAGCTGGCAGAAGCATATAGAAGACAGTAGTCGGAGGTGAGGGGGGGTTGATCTGCATATTTATGGGAGTCTTACCAATCCCAGGCAGGAGGCCTGACAGTGTGGTAGACTGTAGCATAAATATGACAGAGCCTGGTCAGCAGGGGAGTCGAGTGGAAGATGGAGGAGTGAAGTGCTGCTGTGTGGCCTGGGAGGGGGCCGTGGAGAAGGGGGGGTCCTGCCACCAGACTGAAGCTTGGATGAAGGAGGAAAGCTGAAGGAGGGAACTTCACTGCCCTGCAGTCCACCAAGGAAGGACAGCCTGCATAGCCTGGAAAAGAACCAGAACAGAAGGCCTGAAAGCAGTTCTATCCACAGTAGCAGGATAAGAACAGTGTGAATACCTCTACATTCCCAAGACCTATAATGGAGAAGACTCCTGGATGCAAATTCTTGGTAAGTCTTTAGGGGACAGCTTAGTGTCTGCCCGACTGACCATTTGGAAACTTGGGCACTGTCCGAGGGCCCGGGGTCAGTAGGGGGCCCCATGAGATGCCCCTGGTACCTTTTTAATAGGCTTTTTTGAGTTTGGGCAAGGACACAGGGGCTCCATGATCCCCTATTGCCCAGGGGCCCCATGAGTTGTCATTCCGACCCTGGTTTGCCCAATCCTTTGCCATGGGATCAGATGCCATAGCCTGGTTGGGCTGGTATTTTGTTCACAAAGGGGACCCATAGCTCCTATAGGTTGTCACTTTGCTGAAAATCCACTCAGGGGACATTGAATTCCTAAAGACTCTTATGGTTCCAGCTGGAACGTAGTCAAAAGTCTGTCACTTTGCAGTATTCTAGGGAAATAAATTGTCCTCCTTTTGTTATTCTTCAATCAAGTTGGGCATCCCATAATCTCTTTTACCCTATCCAAGTTGAACTCCCGAATAAATACAAACAAAAGCCAATGGACTGTTTCTTGTGTCTGGAAAATGTGCGTGCCTGGCTGTGCAGGAAATAAGAGGACCAAAACCAGCGGCTCTCAAGAGGGTAGCGATACATACACGAGGACAGCCATATTTTCTCATTACATATGCAGGCTCTGCTTTCTGATTTGCAGCACTACACAGTAGTTGTGCTTTACTGCTCTTTCTTGTAACACAAGTCTATGAGTCAGCTGACTTCTGTCTTCCCCAAGGTGGCTGACATCTTATCACAACAGCTATCACAAATACTCTACGTACTTGGAAAAAATTGCAGGAGCCCAATTATGAGACAATAGAACCTGAAGTACATGCAGATGTCATTATTAATCTTCTGGTCTATTGTTACAGGGCCAGCTGGTAATTCCAGGTGTGACCAGCCATTTGTAAAATGTTTACCTATTACACAACAGAGAGAGATTTGAAACTTGATTCAACAAGTGATGTTATCACAGCTAAAGGAAATGTTGTGTCTGGGTGGATTATCTGACAGCGGAATACAGGGAATTATTATCCTATAAACATTGCCATTTAATTGCCAGGAAAAATGATTTACATGCACATTATACTGCCAAAAGTATTGGTTGGCCGGCCTTTACACGCACATTAGCTTTAATGTCCTCCCAGTCTTGGTTTGTAGGGTTCAATATTGAGTTGGCCCCGCCCTTTGCAGCTATAACAGCTTCAACTCTTCTGGGAAGGCCGTCCACAAGGTTTAGGAGGGTGTCTATGGGAAGGTTGGACCATTCTTCCAGAAGCACTTTTGTGAGGTCAGGCACTGATGTCGGGGGAGGAGGCCTGGCTTGCAGTCTCCGCTCTAATTCATCCCAAAGGTGTTCTATCAGGTTGAGGTCAGGAGCAGGCCAGTCAAGTTCCTCCACCCCAAACTGGCTCCTTCATGTCTTTATGGACCTTTGTGCACTAGTGTGCAGTCATGTTGGAACAGGAAAGGGCCATCCCCAAACTGTTCCCACAAAGTTGGGAGCATGAAATTGTCCAAAATGTCTTGGTATGCTGATGCCTTAAGAGATCCCTTCACTGAAACTAAGGGGCCAAGCCCCACCCCTGAAAAACAACCCCACACCATAATCCCCCCCCACCAAACTTTACACTTGGCACAGTGCAGTCCTGGCAACCGCCAAACCCAGACACGTCCATTGGATTGCCAGACAGAGAAGTATGATTGGTCACTCCAGGGAACACGTCTCCACTGCTCTAGAGTCCAGTGGCGGCGTGCTTTATACCACGGCATCCAATGCTTTACATTACACTTGGTGGTGTAAGGCTTGGATGCAGCTGCTCGGCCATGGAAACCCATTCCATGAAGCTCTCTACGCACTGTTGTTGGGCTCATCTGAAGGTCATATGAAGTTTGGAGGTCTTTAGCTATTGACTCTGCAGACAGTTGGTAACTTCTGTGCACTGTGCGCTTCAGCATGCGCTGACCCTGCTCTGTCTTTTTATTACTTGGTCTACCACTTCATGGCTGAGTTGTTGTTGCTCCCAGTTGCTTCCATTTTGTTACGACCATTAGGTCCTTATGTGCACTGGACATTTTTACATCTTTTTTTGTCTTCTGGTGTCTTTTTCTACAGCCAGTAAACTCCCTAGCATGTTATCCTATGTGTCCATGCACATATAGGTTTTAATCAGCGTTTTTTGGCTGGAAAAAAAAAAAACAAGAACTAGTGATTTACTAGAGTTTTTTAGCTGTACAAACACTCTAACGCTGAAAAGAGCAGTAAAACGCAGCAAACCGACATTTTTAGGGTTTTTTTTTTAGCAAAAAGTTTGTTTCTTTTTTGTGTAAAAAAAATGTTAAAAAAGCAAACACGGAAAAATGTGTAAAAACGCAGCTAAACTCTAATGCAAAAACACTAAAAAATGCATTTTAATATGACTTTATACAGCTAATGCTACCAGCATTTTTAAAATGCCCCGTGTGTATGAGGACTAACAGTTGAGCGTGGAATATTCAGTAGCCAGGAAATATCACGGTTGGACTTATTGCAGAGGTGACAACCTATCACAGGACCACGCTTGGAGTCACTGAGCTCCTGAGAGCGACCCATTCTTTCACCGATGTTTGTAGAAGCAGTCTGCATGCCTAGGGGCTTGATTTTATACACCTGTGTCCATGGAGCTGATTGGAACACATGAATCACATGATTTGGAGTTTGTTTCTTGTTCAGAACGGCTTTTTGTGTCCCCATGTGTTTGTCTGTTTATTTTGTCATGGCAGCCATCAGGGGTCGATGGGTCTTTGAAGGCGGTGCTGGAGTGGCAATTTGGTGGATTATGGGTTGAGCCCATCATAGGTATGGGTGTCCCTTCCCAATTATAAGGTCACGTTGGTAATGTGGGAGTTCATTGGCTGTATCTGGAACTACGTAACTGTAGTATTGTCCCTGAGGCGGTGTAGTAGCGGCTGGGGGCCTTTTCATTGGGTGTCAGATACAGCCGAGTTTGTGATGTGAGTAACGGTACCTTCGAAGACCTTGGACCCGGTTGGGATCATTACTGTCAGTTATTATTTGAGTGTACTGTAAGAAGTGTTATGTTTGAGTTATGTTAAATAAATGGCTGCTATGGCCGGGTTTACACCAAAAAGAGAGTCGCGTGGTCATTTAGGTGGGGAAGGTTTGAAGGGTGGTGGTGGTGGTTTTTTTTATGGATTAGGGGTAAGTATTAGCCTCGATATTCTGCAAGTCCAACAGTCATGGTCAGAGCTAACATTCTAGCAAGGAACAGGAAGTATGAGGGTTCTGCTCAGAGCTAACATTCTAGTATGGAATAGGAGGTATGAGGGTTCTGTTCATTGGAGCATAGAATCGATTAAGGAATAACAATTATGATGTCCCTACTAATGGACCTTACAATCTAAAAAGGAACAGAAGGTATGAGGGTACTAATCATTGAAGGGAATAGAGAAATGGATTATGAGGGTTGTACTCACTGGAGTTTACAGTCTACCAAGAATAACATTTCCCTCCTAGATTGTAAGCTCCAAGGAGCAGGGCCCTCGAACCCCTCGTGTATCTCATTGTATTGGTATTGTTCTGTCGCATGTATTGTCTCCCATTGTAATGTACAGCGCTGAGCGAACTATTGGCGCTTTATAAATACTGTATAATAATAATAGGGAGCAGGAGTTATGAGGGTCCTACTCATTAGAGGTTGCATTCTACAGGTAAAAAGTGTTCTGAGTGTTCAGATTGTTAGAGTTCAGGACATTGTTTCTCAACCTTTTTTTCAGTCAAGGCACCCTTTAAAATTCTACACAATCTTAAGGCGCCCTTTAACCACTCCCCCTCCGGAAAATGTACCCCCCTTCCTGACCAGGCTATTTTTTTGCTATTCGGCACTGCACTATTTCAACTGGTAATTGCACGGTCATGCAATGCTGTACCCAAACAAAATGTATGTCCTTTATTTCACACAAATAGAGCTTTATTTGGTGGTATTTGATCACCACTGGGTTTTTTATTAAAAAAAAACAATATTTTCTCATTTCTGTTATAAAAAATATCCAATAAACTCAAATTTCATCATAGGTTTAGGCCAGCATGTATTCTGCTCCATGTCTCTGGTAAAACAAATCCCAATACGTGTATATTGATTGCTTTGTGTGAAAGTTATAGCGTCTACAAACTATGGTATAGATAATGGAATTCACACCATTTTTTACTATACAGCGCTGTGCTAGTTTAACGGGCAATTGCGCGGTCATGCAATACGGTACATAAATTAAATTTATGCCATTTTTTCCCACATATAGAGATTTCTTTTGGTGGTATTTGACCACCTCTGGGTTTTTTATTTTTTGCACTATAAAGAAAAAAATTACCAAAAATGTAGAAAAAAAAACATTATTTTCTCATTTCTGTTATAAAAAATATCCAATAAACTCAAATTTCATCAAAGGTTTAAGCCAGCATGTATTCTGCTCCGTGTCTTTGGTAAAACACATCGCAATAAGTGTATATTGATTGCTTTGTGTGAAAGTTATAGCGTCTACAAACTATGGTATAGATAATGGAAGCAGCTTTTACTTTCTGACTGCTTAACACATTCTTGTGTCGCTAAAATGCAGGGCAGTACCCCAAAAAGTCCCCTTTTCAGAAGGTAGACACCACAGGGAATTTAATAAGAGGCACAGTGAGTATTTTGCACATCTTATTTTTCTCACAAGGCTTTGAAATATTAAAAAAGAAAAGAAAAAATAAATTTTTGTTTTCTTTCTTCATTTTCCAAAAACTTGTGGCAACAAACAGGATCTACAAAATACTCACCATGCTACTGATCAAATTCCTTTGGGTGTCTATTTTTCAAAAAGGGGTCATTTGGGGGGAGGGGGGTTTGTGCTATTCTGGTGTCACGGAGCTGGTCCTTCCTCTCCCATCCTCTAGGTTTGCTGCCTGCCACCCCCCACTCCTCAGCAGCCCCTCACTCTTCTGTCCCGTCCATGCTGGGACTTGTCCCCAAACCAGGCAGCCCTTAGCAGCTACTCACCCATCTCTCCCTGGCAGTCTGGCCCCCTGCTGAGGGAATCCACAAACAGACCCCCCTCCTCCCTTCCCCCTCATGCACATCCTCCCAGGCTCCATGCCAGAGGCCGTGTTCCCTGGGCGGGTCTGGTGACCTGGGAGACAGGACCCATTGCCATGAAAGCCCGTCAGGAAGTATCGGGTTACCACTGCAGCAGCAAGGCGCCCAGCTCCCTACTTAAGAGAGAGCAGGGTAACCCCCCTTGTGTTCTCCTGGCTGCGTGTGTGAGAGAAGGCTGTGCTGAGCGCCAGCTTCTCTCATCCGACCATCCCCCTTCCCCCTCCTCATCTCCCTGGCTGACCGGACTGCCCGTCTGCTGCTGGATCCTCTCCTGTGTGGGTGAACTCTCTGCTGCCTGGAATCCCTTCCCTGACTGGACTTACATCTTGTTCCCTGTGAGCCTGCGGGCTGGACATATTTCCTGGCTGGATTTAACTCTTTGTTGCCTGTGAGCTGGACAGACTTAACCCTTCCCTGCCTGGAGCTGCCTGTGTGGGCTGTAACCCTCTGTGTCAAGCTCCCCGCACCAGTAAGTGGACTAACCCCATGCTGACCAAAAGACTGAACCCTGTGGATTACCATACCCCTGTTGTTCCATATTGCCTTCCAGAGAACGTTACTGTGTTGCTGTGTCTGGTGTGGATCTGTGGACTAAAGGAACTGTTGTCTGTGCCCCAAAAGCCTCCCCAATAAACACCCACATGTTGGGTTTCGTGCAATCTGTCTCTGTGTGCTCTCTGGTTCTCTTGACACCTGGCATTCCAGGGCCTCCGAAACTATGATAGGTAGTCAGGAAGTATAATGAGGAAATAAAACCCTTTAAAAGCCTGAAGGTGCTTATTGGATTTTGGGGTCCTGTACTTGGCTAGACTGCCAAAAAGTCTCTCACATGTGGTATCCCCATACTCAGGAGAAGCCGCAGAATGTATTTTGGGGAGTAATTCCATATATACCCATGGCATGTGTGAGCAATAAATCATTTAAGTGACAACTTTGAGAAGAAAAAATATTTGTTTGGTGTCATTTTCCAAAAAATAAATTCTTCTATTCTCTCAACATGACTCTCATCAAATAGTGTGGGTTCCAAAAAGGGATAATTTTAGGGGGAGGGGGGATTATCTTGCCATTTTATTCCCAGCCTTAGCAGCTTATGCCACACATCACTCTCTCTTTTAAAAATCTGTATTTTTTACTACAATATTACTTTGAACCCCCCAAACATTATACATTTATTTTAAAGCAGATGTCCTAGAGAATAAAATGGTGGGTGTTGAAATTATGTCACATAGTACTTGTGCAGCAAGTTTTCAAACGCAAATTTGTTTTGGAAAAAACATACTTTATTTTCATTTTAATGCACAAAAAACACAATATATTGGGCAATTGTTTGGTAAAATATAAAAGACGATGGTATGCTGAGTAAATGGATACTAAACCTGATATGCTTTAAAATGGCGCACGCCCCGTGCAACCGCGACAACTACATATATTCTTAATATCCATAGGCGATGCTTCAAAAGCCTTTACAGGCTACCATTTTAGATTTACACAGGAGGTCTAGTCTTAGAATTACTGTCCTTGATCTGACATTCATGGCAATACCTCACATGCATGGTGCAACCGCTGTTTACATACCGACATTGTGCGCACACATGGGAGGACGAGGGTGCTTTAATTTTTTTATTATTATTTATTAAGATTTTTTTTTAATCACTTTTATTGTTACCACAGGGAATGTAAATCTCCTGTGATAGAAATAGGCAGTGACAGGTATTGTTTTCTGTGAAATCTGGGGTCTATCAGACTCTAGATATCTCCTCTGCCGTTAAATCATCTGATCTCACCAAGATCGGTGTGATCAGATGCTTTCCCAATTTAAAAATGGCGTTGTTTATATCCGGTGAATCCAACGTGATGAAATGCCCATAGCTTCCAGTTTCTTAGACTAGCATCATTCTGGTCTCCAATCAGCTCTATGGTCAGCTGGCAGAAACACCAGCTGCATTCTCAGGTTCCGCGATGGCAGGGGAATGCCCCAGAAAGCTGTGGTAGACTGGAAGAGAGCGGGAGAGGGGGGGGCATCTTCTGCTTGTAAAAGTAATCCTGCAGCTAATTAGCCACTAGGATTGCTTTTACATGAAAGCCGATTTCCGGCTGAAAAAAAAAATTATACCAAGATGGTGCCTGCAGCAGGCATCATCCTTGTATAACCACTTAAAGTCCAGTGATGTACCAGTAGGTCGCTGGCCTTTGTTGGGTATATATGTTATGTTCTTTTTTTTGTGGGCTGAATGAAAAAAAGAGAAGAATTCTCTGCCAGAAAAAAAGTGTGTGGGTATGCCCACCATTAGAATATACTGCCCTGCATTCACCCACTTCTAATGTTGGGCATACATCAAATGTAACAGATTGCTCTATTACTGATGTATATTCTGAAAGCACACCCTGTTACTGTCAGAATAAGCAGATCGGTGCTGCAGCTGAATGGCTTTCCTGCAAAGAAAAGAACATTGGTTAACAATAAAACAGTAGCCATAGACCAGTAAGTCAATAAAACAGCTTTTTTATTGAAATCTGTGCCAAACAATTTTATAAAATTTTATAAAATATTTTATAA